AATTTTTGTCTCGAATGCTGTCAAATTATAATATAAATAAATTTTGTTATATTTTTTGTGACATTCTGTTGTCAAGGCATTTTATACAATAGATATCCTTTTGAAACTTTCCTACTCACAAAATTTGTCAGTAAACGCTTTGAAAAACCTGTTCAAGCAGACTTGGCTGATTAGGTACATTTAGATCCAGTGAAAAACTAAGGATAAATCTCAGTCGTAGTAAAGAATCTTACAACAGTTGCAAAGCTGTTTCTTTCTGTCAAACGAAATCAATAACATCAATACCGATAGAACTTGAAGTTCATCATCAACATGAGTGTGTCCCTGGCTTCCGCCTTTATTGCATTTACGCAATCCACGAGGGATATCGCTTATGTATATATGCATATATGAATGTGCTGTGCCAAGTATCACGTACACTCAGCATGTATAGCGGAAAAACCAGCTGATCGCGCGGACGGCTAGACTGAAGGCCACATCGAGGTTCAACGCCCTTTCTCAAATGCGATTCCACCCGCAACGGGATCGCGCTTCATCCATGAATAGATCATTCGCGCGCATCCGTGTCCGTGTCGTCAAACCACCTTGCAACCTGTTCAGTTCCTTTCTGTAAAAATGATAGCCAGCGACGCGTGACCGAATATTGCGTTCGAATTTCACTGCAACATGAATGAACATTGCGTTGAATAACGATAATTTTCGCTATCTTTCGACATTGTACCGCACATCAGTTTCATTTTACACGATCTAAATGCTCGAGCGTGCAATTTCAATGCAAATATTACAATTATTATCGTCGATCCTTTTTTTTTAATTCGCGATTGAAGTCTACGCTTTCATAAATGATTTGCAGATAAGCGCCGCGTAATCACTCGCATGCTCGAATGCCTCCTTTAACGATGAAACTAAGAATAATTCGACTATCGAACGTATCCCGTTGTATCCTGTAAGGTATATCGATTTCCACTTTCGCGGCTCGCATTAACTTTCTCATGCACGAATCGCGACGAATTAATTATCTTCGAACGGATATGATACGATGAAATGTCATAAATCGCTTTAAAAGCGATTACTTGCACTTCATCCTGTCCAGTGTCGATGCACTGGAGTAGATAAATATAGTCTTATAGAAAATAGCCTTCACATATTTGAGTATAAATTAATAATACCTTTGAGGCTTACACAGGTAACTTTTTTTTAAAAGTAGCTACGTGATTTGCGTTTTGATATATTATTAAACGCCGACGTTTCGCGAATATTGCAGTTCATTGATCCTGATACTGATCAATATCAGGTTGCTTCTCGTTCTGATAAAATGAACCGCAATATTTAAACTTTGGCGTTTAATGATGTATCAACACGGAGAGAATGATTTTGCTGAAGCATCTAAGCTGGATACAGATCTAAAAATAATTTTGTTAAATCATCATGCTCGAGGTTCTTAAATAATTATTTTAATCGTCTGACAAAATTATTTTCAGATTTGTATCTAGCTGAATTAGATATTTTCAGTAAAATCGTTTTTTTCCACGAAGACACGAAGATAACCCGCAAACCGCGTTTCTTATATAATCGTTCGCGAAGGTATATTTAAAAATAATCGGCAAATGCTGCACGAAGAGGACAATTTTGTTGAAATATTAAAAAATTTATAACTAGATATAGATGAAAATAATTTTATTAGGCCATCAAAATAATTATGTAGGAAACTTAAACATAATAAGCAATGTTGCAAAAAGATTTAATATTCAATAAGAATCTTACTTTTTTTTTCGAATAACCAATTGCAGCGTCCTATATTATTTGGATAATCTAACAAAATTATTTTCTGATCTATGAGCAGTATTCATAATTCGTTCTCAATTTAAGACTGTTTTAAGTAATATCTTAAGCTGCTAATACGGTTCTCTAGTCTAATCATAGTCAGATCTTATATTTAAGATAATAGATAAGACCGTCTTAAGTACAGTCTTAAGATGTTATGAACTAATCAGAGAATCTTAAAATAAGAATTGACTATGAATACCAATCTCTGATTGTTTCATGATATCTTAAGACTGTTAAATATAAGATCTGGCTATATATGAATACCGGCTTACATCTAGTTAAATTATATTTTATATACTTTAGCAAAACCGTTGTTTCCATGTAAAGAGTTCGCATCTCTAGGAATCCGTTAAATCGAGCGAATTTCAGCACCCAACTTATTGTAATTCTTTTATACGCATGCGAATCAACCAATGTTTATTCATTAATAGATGTTTATTCATTAATCGTCGCTTTCACAATCAAGACGATTTCGCTTCTCAAATTTCATTGAGGTTTATTCTTTTAACAAAATCCTCATATGTTTCTTGTGAGAACTTTTATGCTCACTCGGGGAACCGCTGTCGCGGTTCACGTGACCGATCTCGTTTCGGCCGACGACGACGTGCTTTCCATTGTTCGTCGTCACGCGTGCGGATTGCATGGCAGCCCCACGCCGGAAACCAGAGAGGCTGGAGAACGTCAGAGAGAACCTGTGGCCGCGGCGCGTGCACGGTTCAGGTGCGAAGAAGGAGAAATCGCGGAGAGAGAACTCTCATCTTTTCTCCCCATTGTCTTCCCGCGTTGTTTCGCCTCCTCGCGTACGATCGTGCCGATTCGCACGGCGAAATCACACGCCGGATCAAATGCCGCTTCTTGCTATTGTTTTCCCAATGTCCTCTCGTTAAAAGCTGGCGTTTTCAATCGAAGATTTCAACCGAGATGTCTACGTTTAAAGCGGAAGTTCTTCTTTTCCTTCGTGAAACGATTGCGCGCGTGTGTATATATGATCGTTGTATGTACGAGAGTTTCGATGAACGTTGTGGACAAGGAAATTCGCTCGAGTCATTTCGATCACCTGAACTCTTACCTTTATCTACGAAATTTCCTTTGTCCGCGGCGTTATCGCGACATGAAGCGCAAAGGCTTAACTATCTTATCAGCAACATCGATTGCAACATGAAAAGAATAGTTGAAGTATTGAAAAGTGAGCTGATACAGATCTGAAAATCATTTTGTTTTTATCAAAATAATTATATACGATTTGCTAGAATATTAAAACTTTTTTCAGTATTATCGTCAATGTTTAAGCTTTTTACTGTAGTTATTTTGATGATCCAGCAAAATTATTTTCAGATCTGTATCTAGCTAGATTTTTAGATACTTCAGCAAAATCAATCTTTTTGTGAAAAATCCTAATTTGAAGAAAATGAAATGATAACAAGATAAAATTTTCGAAATGAAATGATAACAAGATAAAATCTTCGAATTTATTAGGAAATTTTTATTGTATTAATTCACCGATTTATTTATTCGTAAAACTGATAGCTTCTATAAACGTATACTTATATGGAAAGAATGATTTTGCTAAAGTATCTAAAAATTTAGCTAGATACATAATTCAACATAATTTTGTTGAATTATTAAAATAATTACGTAGGATAATCTAGTTGTCAAAATATCAAAATTGTTTGCTTGTCATATTTCCTACATACACAGAAAAATATTATTCTCTTTCTAAAAAATGATTACTCAATTTGTTTCTTTTTTTTTAGATAAGTAATGATTATCTTTAACAAACAACAATAGTCTTATTTGTAATATTTATTATAAAACTCGTTATCATGTATTTAAAACAAGAATTTATTTTCTTTTAAGAAAAGAATATTATAAAATTGATCGAAGAAGCGACTTTATATAATAATAAGCTAATCGAATTTGTTTTAATTTAATAATTTTGATTCAAGTATCAAACTTACTAGATTCCAGAATATATTTTGAATAAATTTGATGACTGTAATAAACTTATGATAGATTTGCAGATATATGAATTTTCGAAATATTTGAAACAAGTAATTGTTATTTGTAGTCAGGGTTGGATATGTATTTGAAATACTTTTATTTAAAATACAGTTTTTGCAATACAAGTATATTTTGTATTTTGTATTTCAGCGGAACACATAAAATTATTATGTATTTTATATTTAAAATCAAAAAATTGTAAATCCTTTGTAATTCAAATAATAACATTAATTATTAATCTTAATATTTGAAATACAAAATACTTTTATATGCTGCCATGAAATACAAAATACAAAATATTTACATGTGTTGCATTGAAATGATACAAAATACAATTGTCTTACAAATACTATTTTTTCAAATAAAAATATAATATTTCAAATTCATGCCCAGCTCATACAGTATATATTTTTCTGTGTGTAATTTGATAGTTTAACAAAATTACTTTCATATCCATATCTAACTAAATTTTTAGATATTTTAATAAAATCGTTTTTCTTTTGTGTATGTTACGTAATCAAATCTAATTTTATATCAATATTGTCCCTTGATTTAGATTGATTCGCATCATTCTAAGGTGATGTTTTCACGATTCTTTCTAATGAGATCCCTAAAATAATAGGAATTATTTGTGCGAAATAGCTTCGCTTCATCGATTTTAGACAATTGTCGTGTTGCAAACTCCGAAGAACCGCTCCTGCTGATAACAAATACGTTTGAACATGTTGAATCATCCAAGTCATATACAGAGTGCGTCTATGCCATATAAATGAGAACGATCGGTGGCAGGGATGTGAAATCGATTCGTCTTCAACCCTGATGAAAAAAGTGAGGGACGAACTCGTTTCTAGACCGCTTAGATTCAGCTTCGTCGAATCAGAATACACTTGACCAACGAAAATTAGAGGATTCGTTCGAGTTGTCTGTCTTTATCAGATCTACAAGTAATCTCGAGGTCAAAATGAGTCGAACGGATCGGACACACCTCTCGCAATTCTCGAGAAACATCCTGTATACCGGGTAAAAGTTGGGACGTGGGCGCATCCGCAAAATAAGCCCCTGGCTGCGTCGCCGTGAGCACGTCGGCGTCGCGACGCCGGCGCAGATGGCCGGATCGATCCCCGTGTTCGCTTTCCTTCGCGTCCCGAGCACGACAAGGCCGAAATCGCGAGGTAACAAGCAAGACGAAGGAAGAGCGAGAAACGCGGGGGTGACGACGACAACGACGACGGAGGGCGACGTCGGTGCGCTGTCGCTCGTTTCCTCGCCATCGTATGCCATCCTTACGATGTGACGGATCACGAAGAGAATTCTGTACCATCCCTTTCGCGCCTCTTCCGAGAGAGAAGAGCAAGAACACTTTCCTCGCATCGCTAAAATATTATATATTCGGGGCATGGCGATTTAAAACAACGGTGGACGACCGTCAATCCCCGTGAGAAATCGATCGACGACCGGCAGTGACATTGGCCCGGAAGCATTCGTCATGGAATACCGGTACGGCAGCACGAGATGCGAAGACGACCCGCTGGAGAATGAGAAGGGCATCGGTGTTGCGGTAAGGGATGCTCCGAACAGGACGTCTGTGTTCCTTCTCTTCAAATCCTCTTCACGGAGAACCTGTTCGAGGGTGCCATGACAGTGCGAGTGTCAATCGGGCGGGATTATTTTCGATAACATCATCAGAGTGTCATTTGCCAAGATTTCCTGAATCGCAAGTTTTTATATCGTTTAGTTAAAGTCAGTATAGTTAAATTCAATTTATATTTTGGGGATTGAAAATGATCCTTGATATTTGGAAATTAATAGATATGATCGAAGAAGTTTTAAATACATTTGATACTTTCCGACAAGTGTGACATACTGCCTGTCATCGCTAATGATCGCAAATTATGCGCGTCAGTTTCTAGTAAAATTAGAAAATAGATTGTGATCATATCATCTTTGTTTAACATTGGCAAACAACAAGATAAATTTACTGTGTCTCTTGCTGAAAAGCACTCATTATCTTTAATCTCGCAAACACAACAGAGTACTAAGCCTTAAGAAATTGACCAAGTCGATTATTCTTCTCACATGCGACTGTGATTGATTTGTTTCTTAAGACTTAAGGCTTACTACTCAATTGTGTTTGCGGATTAACAATTTAGCTCGAATTTAGATTGTATTACTTTATAAGCGTACATGACGCATTTGCCGTATATAACGTGTGATGTGTACCACATGCGTAATCATCAGGACGACGATTTCGCGGTCGATTTGCGGCTGTCACGAGACATCTGTGTTGAAAGCGACGAGTCAGGTTTCGAGCCTCTTCGCGAACGCGCCCAAAGCGCGAATACGGTTCCCAGATTTGTCGATCTGCCAGCCGCTGTTACGCTATTTCTGGAGTTCAAATGGACCACTGTACGCGATGATTCTCAGACGGCTTAGACGGCTTTCGCGAGTCGCACAGAGGTGTTCCGCCGTTCCTTAGTCATCTCGATCATGGACAATGCGGTGCTCGCGAGCACATTGTTTCGGAAAGCCTCGTCCGCGGCGGGATGCGCTATCAGCACCGCGCCGTTATATAATCCGCACACGAATATCGATTAATATTGTTGCAGTCGGGAACCAAGCAAAAGGTTCGTCGAACAGATCCCGAAACCTCACGAGCGTACGGTATGTATGCGCACTTGGCAATCTAATGCCGAGATATTCGTAGAAAGCAAAATATAAGTTTTAAAAATAAAATGGCCAAGATTTATAATACATAATCGGCTGAAGGCAAACTTCACAATCTAATCACAATCTCGTCGAAATTGAATTACGTAGGATATTGATCTTCTTCTGCGGATAATCGTTAATGCGTGACTAGGAACGATACACTGCTGATAATCCCAGCTCTTACATCTTGATTACGAAGAACTTTGTTCGTGACGGCTGTAGAAACGCGATAGCGATCGAGACAGATCGAACGAAAATCCATCGAGAACTTCGACGTAATAAATTATTTCTAACAAATAATTCGTGTTGGAAAAGCTAAAAGAATCTCTGATAAGAATGATGTGTGTATGTAATTTATTTTAATTCTATCTTTGCAATTTTTCTTACGTTTATCATCGTCTTATTGTGTTCTGCGTCCCTCAGTTTTTTCACACAGACATCCTGTATGACAAATTTCTAATGAAGAATCTTCGTTTCAGGGCTCTTCGAAGCGCGGCACGTCGCACACACGCGGCACCGCGATGTCCTTCGGTTTCAGGCGACGACCCACCAGCGGGATTCCTATGCCGATAACGAACTATGTCGCCGGTACTACTAACGAGAAGAGCCTGCTGCATCCACGATCAAAGTCGGCCGGTCCGGAGCAGGATCGCAGACGGATGATGGACGATGATAATAGCAATATGATTCACAATTCGTCGTCCGGTCGGTCGACACCACGGCTGGCACCGCCAAAAAAAGATTCGAGTGGTATCGGCGTCAGGACAAATCGCTTTGGCTATCGGCAGCCGCAAGCGAGATTCACGAACAAGGTTGGTGACATCTGCAGCAGCCACAGCATCAGTCACTACAATCAGGAGAAGCTGCAGCAATATTCGCAGCAACAGCAGCAGCAACAACAAGAGAACTACTTTGTCAAACAGCAACAACCAAACAGAGTCGTTGCGCATGTGCCACAGCATTTGTGCAGCACGACGGTACCAGCAAAATCTCGCTCGCCGCAATCGAATAACATGGCTTACGGCGGCAATTCGATGATGCAACACACAGACGCGAACAAACGAATCTCAGGCATTCCAGAACCCATTAGTAGGTATACGCTGCACACCAGTCATCTGCCGCTACCTCAATATGCCGTACGGATAAACGACTCGAATTCCAAGATCGCCAAGACTGCAGCAAATCAAAGCAGAAAGATATCTACGTCGAAAGGCTCATCCAGTTCGAAAGAAGGTTCGGTGACTGAGGATTCGGGTGTCAGCAGCCAGCCGATCGGTCTGGAGGATAACGATAGAATCAGATCGATGGATTACATGGATGATGCTTCTTTGAGGAGACGCGGCGTCGGCAGACCAAGAAACTTGCGCATGGTGGTATCCGGCAAAAGCTTTGACGTGAGAGACGTCCGTGACGACGACAGCACTGTCACGGAAATTTCGGTGATCCCGTTGCCCAAATCTTTCGCAACTGCTGCGATGAGTCTAAATACTGGCTTTGTGCGAGAGCGAGCTACGCAATATCAACGAATCGTTAACAAGGACAATAGATACACCGACTCGACCGCGTCAATGTCCACTACGTCCTCAGAGGGCTATGACGAGGGTTGTCTGAGTGAGGAGAAGGTTTACAAAGATCGATCGCGTACAGAAAAGGTCCCGTCCATCAAATCAGACTTTAGCCCTCCCAGTTCGGACGATCCCGAATATGGACACGGTGAAGCTATGGCAGACGAATATTCGTTAAGTTCCAGCGACGAATATCAGCGTACCAACTCCATTATTGCTCAGCACGCGCAAGCAATCACCGCTGCTACGAAAAGCGGTGCAACATCGAAGAACGCTCTACGTTCGGTGTTGCTCACCATCGAGGATCCCGCATTCGCTGCTGCCGCTGCTACAACAACCACTTTAATAGATGACGAAACTTCACCAGTTGACAGCCTATTTGACAGTCCTACCGCCAGCATTACGCAGTCGGATGGAAAGCCCTCGAAGAGGGATGAGGAACACGCGCACGAGCGTTCGGACAACACTCTCGAGGACGACGGTCCGGGCACGCCGACGAACGCCTCCAACTCGCTCAGCTTGTCCGAGGGTAGAGAGTTCTTCGACGATGAAATCGCAGATCAACCCGGATTGATCTTTGATGACAACAACCCGAGAGCGAGAATCGAAACGCAATCCGCTATGGGAGGTCAAGTAATCACCGAGAATAGCCATACTCTGATTGAGACGAATTCTAAGAGTGAGTACGGATTTGCTATTCTTATTCTTCTCAAATACATTTAGGTGTAAATTTTTTAATTTTTATTGAATTTTAATAATAATCTGAATAGAAATGAATATATTTTTGTTAAATATATGTTGTAGTTGGATATTTTTTATTGAAATATATATTTTATATATTGACAATATATGTGATTTGTGTTACAGATGGAGTGCATATCAAAGGCGTAATGAATAGTCCTCATCACGGGCAACGTTTGCATCGAGCAGGCAGTGTAGATACTTTATCGCCCTGTGAATCCATTGCGTCGGATGATTTAATGTTAGATTACGACGGCAGCGACGCAAGCTCTTACGAGGAACAACAGCGGTTAGCATTAAGTGATATAATTTTTGATAAGCAAGATACGTTAGATTAGTTTGAATAGAGAAATAAACATATTGCTATTTTGCTATTTTAGAATTAAATTATCATTATTTGTCTTTCTTTCTCTTTCAGATTAAATTCCAATCCTGCGTTGCACGAACTGGATGACGCAACTATAATTTCCGAGCTGGAAGCTCAGGGCGAAGAAGTGATGAGGCAATGGAGTTCGTTGCTGAACACTGCGCATATGGAGGAAGTGAATTCCAATTCCGCCAACAACAATTCCATCAACAGCGGTAACATTAACAATCAGGCCACCACCGAATCCGGGTGTGTATTCACATTTTTCACTACCTTTCATGTTTGCGTTGTTGTCGAAACATAAAACTTCGTGATGCATGATGCTTCTTCAGAATGATTAGTGTAACATTATCTCGCGGTTAAATTTACAACGCGTGACGTACTTGTAAATGATATGTAAATCATACAAAGATGTTCCTCCCCTTTAATCGGGGCAAAGGAATACTGCTTTCTCATTGATGTTGTTATTTTTTCTCGATGTTATTATTCTTTCATATATAGATAAAATCCAATCAAGTACAATTGTCTCATTTCTATTTATGTATCGCTTTTTTGTCTTGTATCACTTTGTAGATATTCTAATTGCAACATCGTTCTGTTTTTGTGTGTTGAACAAATCTGTATACACACATTTGCATCAATCTTTTCAATTTTTTTTTAGTTATGTGATATTGATTATAATTTTGAATACATAATTTTAATTAATTTCGATGCGTTTATAGCAGAGTTATGAGTAGAGACTGTAATACAGTGCAGAAACTGTAGCAGGCCTTAACTAAAGACTGTGTAGGAAGATTGAAAAAGTACCTGGTCGATGTTATAATATAGTTAGTCGATAAAGTATGTATACTGTACGCAGAAGACAAAGAATGTGTCATCCAACCATTAAATTTATGTATATCCGCTGTCTGTGTCCACTGTAGTTGTAAGTCATATTCTTAAACTTTGATCAGGATGACCTTTCGAATCTTTTGTATATCATTTCTTTTGTGTACAAAAAATTCTGTAAAGGTGAATATATTATGAGAAATTAATGATGTGTGCAGGTGAGAATATTTAAATGATTTTTATACTTAACGCCAATATTTCATATCAGAGAAAATTGCGTCTTTTGCACTATTTGAATTTTCAATATCATAAAAAACTCAATCTTTTGGGTAATCCCGTGACGTTTTAATTTTCTTATGCGCGCTGTATTATAATATGTTCCAGATTTCTGTTTCTTTTCTATAATATGATTATCTTTTCGATCAGTTAAATAACGAGAGTTAATTAACAAAAGTCTTGGAGAGGAAGAGTGTCACACAATATCCCTTTAGAATTCTTTTCATATCCCATACTCATCATATATTATTGTAGATATACGATTGTATATGCAATTTTACAATTTTAATCCACACTCTGAAACGATATTAACCGCAAGGAAGTTACAGAAATTATTAAGCACATCGCGTGGGGAGATTGCACATAAAGCTTCGTTTTATCTATCTCTTAATTAAAGGAAGCAATATTTTTCATATCGGGAGCATGAAATACAACATTTCAGTTTATGGTATCACATGCAATAACGATCGCGTTACTGCGAATCGTGTAAGTTTCGAGCACGTCATGGCCATATGCGCATAACAGCCTACTCTCTTTCACGTTGCTAGCTCCTTTTTACTCGATAACTTTCTCGGTGAATGAGAAAAGAAGTATACACTTTGTAAAGTATATGTTAGATTTGCTCTCGAATTCCCGTCCTCATCCCTGTCCTCGATCTCATCTGATTTCAAGCCATACCCTTGAAGCTTTCATCAAGACGTGGCATCATGTACTCGTTTCGTCAGGCCATTTTTCGTTCTGCTCCTCATTAACGGTGATAACCATCAGCAGGACTCAATGTGTGTGGTCGTAAAAAGATGTATAGAGAGAGACTAATATCCATTTCTATAAAAGTAAATTAACTTTAATCTCAGTTCAACTTACTCTTTATCTTATTCTAATTCTTAGAATTAAAAAAACATGAATAAGTAAGTTGAACCGAGATTAAAATTATCTACATTGATGAAAATGGGTATAAATATTTTCTTCTGCAAGTCGTATTGAATAATATATACAAGTCTATAGGGAAGAAATGTCGCTTACAAGAGTACATTGATTCACTGCTGATATTGAATAATGTTTTCGTAGAAGGAATTCTGCTAATTTGCTGCAAGAAATTTTCCTCTTTACGAAAATATTATGAATTTTTGGCAATGTATCAACCGGATTCTTGTGTATGTCTGTGTTTTATTTTTCCCTATAAGACTTTACACTACGAGATGTATGTCGCAAGGTCTTTTACTTCCTTGATTGTAAAGTAAATAAAATGAACATGCCCGCACACATCCGCCACAGGAGACGCCACAATTCAGCGACAGTATTCTGTGTTCTAGCGCGCTAGTAAAACGGGTGAAGCAATTGCAAATCCCCGATGAGGACTCGGCGGGTGGAGACTACTACCAGCTGACATACCCTAACTAGCGAGCGGGATCCGCCGGTCCTCCCTTGAATGTCGACTAGGCAAAACCGATAACCGCACGCAGCCGATTACCGAGATACAGTAATAATAATACACGGACGCAGGCTTAACGCGTGAGTGATCGCGTCTTGTTAAAAAGGAAAGAATAAAAAAAAAAAAAGAAATTAAAATGAATTCATTGCGAGGTTTTCTGAAGATATTGGAAAGTGTGTGAGTTTTGCGAGATAAGATGAGATATTTTATATCGTGGAAAAAAAATAAAAAAATAATGATCTTTTATTTGTCGTGCTTTGTGATGTTCATGGCGTGACCACTCACGAGTTAAAGACAGACGTTGTTAAGAGTGAGAGAAAGAGGGAGAGAAAGAAGTGAGTGATTGGAAGAATCCGAGTGATGATAACGATACGGTGTTGCAACTGGAAAATCTAGCGACTGATAATGGTTGTGCGCTTGTGACTTTTGCTTAGAGCATGACTAAATGAAGAAAAAAATGGGATGATATGTCGTGGAAAATTGTTTTCAGTATACAGTATACAGAGCATTTCCAAGTTTATTCCAAAGTTAGAATATAGTTCGATAAAGTCTTTTTGTTAAGTTTTTGAAGGATTAACTACATCGCAATTAATTGTTACTTAATGTAAGAATATTCTCTTACGCGCAATTTTCTGGTCTAATAATTTTCTAACTTGTTAAGACTTGTAGATATACGTTTAAATCTTTTAACAGATTTCATGTAATTATTATTTATCATGCTATGTTACGTGTCTTTCTTATTTTCGAGAGAAAAATTTTAATTTATCTTGAGGAAAATATTAATATATACAACTAATAACTATTTGCTGTCCCATCCCGCCCAATTTCTTAAACCGGATGTAGATGGGAAATCTACCTCAAATATTTTCCAACCTCCGCGGATCAATTGGTCTCGTTAATTTATTCCTCTCTTTTTTTTTTTGAGAGAAATATAGCTTGATGTGATTTCACGATGCAAGGCATCAGGTAACTTCTTTGAGATTACAGTGCGTCCTTATTATAATCGCAAAGATTACCGAGTTCTCTCAAGTATAGTCGAGATGTAGTCAAAGCATAGTGCCGAACAGAGAGAGTAACCCGTCGACACATGTAAACCGTTCGCCGTTTACAAGTCACCTCGTTGCGTCCTGGTTACAACGCTGCAAGGACTCGTTTAAAGTGATCTTTCGTCCGTACGGAGAAGTTTACGCGAAATTCTTAGCGGTGTATCTGGCACTAAGCGAGCGCGTCTGGTGGCGTGGGTGATAGAGATTATTTTTCTAATTTCGTATTTTTCCAATAACGATGGTCGTGCTGGCCAAATCCTTCCAAAATTGTCGTCCTGTCGGCATCGGTGATTTTCTAAGCCGATTCCGATGTTCAATTCCGAGTAGATGCACTCTAGTCCTCATCCTAGTCATCCCAACGGCCGTCACTTTTAAATGATAACCATTGATACTATTTAACACGTATTACTGATACGTAATACAAAGGGTAACTCCTTTAACACTCGCTATCAAACAGCTATTAATTAATCGTATACTCGTGGCATTATAGAGAGCTTGTTAGGTGTAAACGCGTAGTTTCGTAGAAGAGAGTTGATGAATCGATTCAATGTTATTCTTCCCCCTTCCCTTTCCTTTTTCGAATTTACTGTGAAGGAGAGAACATGCATGCAACTTTTCAACTGATTACAATATTTAATTTAACAATACATGATAATGTATTAACAATACGTGATAATGTGTGTATTCCATTTCGTCAATCAATCAATAATTTGGAGTATCATTGCGTCCACATGCGACTTTAAACTATTTCAATTTTTTCAGTTTTCTGGATGCTTGCCGTTATATTATAATAATATTATAATTAAGATGCATGTTCTCTTCGGTCTCTCGTTCTCCTTCGTCATAACCGTGTCCACAAAATGTTCCTTCACATTATCGTTCCTTTTTTGCCGTATAGACACCGTTATTTCTCATCTTCGATTCCTAGCATGAACGAAACTCAATTATAATCATGAGCTTCATTCTTTTTCAAATGGATCTCATTCTCTTAGAAATGAGGCAGGTTATTGCGCTTATATAGATACTTATCTCAATGTAAACGCTCTATTTAAGTTCTACGCTGGATTGCGGAATGGGAAAAAAAATCACGTGTACTTTTGTTAATATTTTCTAGGAATTTTTTTTAAATTATTCCACAAATAGAAAATAAAGACTCTAAACAGTCAAGCAGAATCTTTAGTGTTGCAAAAACACTAAAAATTCAGCATGTATTCACATTACGATTTTAATAGATATTTAATAGATATTTAATAGATATATACGAATATTATTTCTCTTCAAAGAAGTTAGGCGATTTACGGGTCATTTCTGTGTTGATTATCATTATTATTAAATACCAATGTTTTGTGAACATTGTAATTCACTTTATCAGAGCGAGTATCACACATAGGTTGTTTCTTGCCCTGATGAAGAGAATTGCTCACGAAACGTGGCATTTAAGAATCGAGATAACCCGTAATTTTCTTGAACACCTACCTTCTATTTCAATTCAAGAGCCCGGGGAAGTGCATTGAGAAGCCAGACGGTTTGAAGAGCTCGCGTAATTCTGCGATCACGCATCGCTTTAAGATATGTATGCGGAGAATCGCGATTACGCGATGCGCAATAATGACACATATTAATGCAACATACACTTATACTTAGCATAGTACTTACGAGAAACATAT